GTATTACGGTGCTCTTAAGAAGATGTCTTTATATCTCTCTCTCACTGTATTGCCATGTGTTGCTGCAGCCTTCATCAATCATGCAGAAACTACATGAGTCGAGATTTCTCTAATCCCTTACAGACACCCAGTTCCTTGTTAACATAACGTGTAGAAATTCACTTCCTTGGAGAAATGTAACCTTGTTATATATGTGCATAAAAACATCATTCAGATTTCACCCGTGTTTGACTGGACATATTGGAAGTTTTGTTAAAATTGCCTTAACAACAGTTACAAACAAATGTCCTTAGATTCGAATAAATAAAATCCGATTTGATTCCATTAGATAAAATACTCCATTTATTACAAATTGAAAATGTTTTAGTCACAGCAGCATGTAAAAAAAACGAAGAAAATATACATATTAATAATCTAACGATATATATCTATAGAGCGCACGTAGAAATACACAATATAAAAGTATACAGAATAATTTTTTTAAAAACGTAATATCCTAACCCAGTGGTTCTCAACCTGTGGTACGCGTGCCACTGGTGGTACGCCAGCTCCCGCTAGTGGTACGTGGAGGAATCTGACATATAAAAAAAAAAATAATAATAAAAAGATTAATTTATTTTTTTTATTTTTTTTTATTCAAAGGTAGGGTAGGTAATTTTGGAGAAACCAGCTCGAGTGAGCTAGAATTTGAAAATACAAAACCGGAAAAAATATGCCACTTCCTTACAGAGCCTTCCACAGATGACATTTTTTTAAGGATTTTTTGTCAAAGCACTTCAGATATTCATTGCTATCGGGATGTTAAGAGCATTCCATGGAATATAACAAAAGTGTATCTCGAGCCGGTTTCTCAAACGTACCCCACCTTTAACCTTTACACATAACACAGACATATAAAATACAGGAAACAGAACTAAGTAAACAAAAAGACGAAAAGCAGTCACTACATTGTGCACATTTGGGACATTAAGGTACACTGTTATTACTGCAAGAGCAGCTGATGGTAAGACCTTATGTTAACAGTAGGCACTAACCTCAGACAACTTCAATTTAAAACAGGCTATAGTTTGAGGCTTGATTGAAAAACATTAATTACAAAATAAATCATACTATCAAAATACTACAACGAATGAAAATAAGCTTGAGATAATTGAAACTGTGGTTTAAATTAGTTCTAATAGGCTATTGCTGTTTTTAGATTTAGAAACGAAAACATTTATTTTATTTTATTTCTGGCGTTGCTAATTACGACCTTACTACCCGCTAACGTTGCAAGCAAGCTAAAGAAAGAAGAAAGCTGAATGATGTTAAAAACGTGGCTCAAAACGGGAGGTATTCGGAAGAGAGGTACAGAGGAGAATATTAGCAGCGAAAGTGAACAAGTGAATGAGGAGGAGGACAATCATCAACCGAGCACAAGCGCAGGCTCCGCAAGCAACGCAAAAGTGATATGCACAGCTGCTGTGATGGAGGAGAGAAGTGACTCAGGAAGAAGGCATTTGCTCAAAGGATGGAGAGAAGGCTGTGACCGAGGTCAAAAGCTGAAAAAGCACACACTTGTCCTTAATTGTCATCTTTTTTCTTTTCATTTTTACTTTGCCACCACAGAAATGGCAATAGCAAACATCAGCAGACTGAAGATTAGCTATTAGCCCTTAGGCTCATGGAGGCTTCATTATTATTGTGGAACTGAATTCCCACATTTTCTGTTACAATGTAGGTTGTTGCAGGAAGCCTACATTCAGAGAGAGAGAGAGAGAGAGAGAGAGAGATAGACTGCCCTCTGTACATGTAGCTGTGGCTGACAATAAATAATGTTATTATGAATACATTTTCCTCCGAGTCCTGCATGAACTGTGCATAGACTGTATTTTAACATTGGTCATATGGTGGTACTTGGAGAGCCAACTATTTTCTCAGGTGGTACTTGGTGTAAAAAGGTTGAGAACCACTGTCCTAGAGCATCAAGGTCCATTATTGCCCCCATAAGGTACAAACTGTAAGGGTACTAATATGTACCCTTGTTAAGGGGTACAATGGGTGTACCTTTGGGGGTACTGCCCCAGTGACGAGCTGTTGGACCCCTAAAGGTAAAAATTTAGCACGTTATTTCTGACAGTGTACGATAATTACTTTATCTGTTTTAAGTACCAAAGTTGATAAAAACTCAGAGAATTCCTTGGGCAGACACACACACCGTTAATATTGGGTATTTTTGCCTGGTGTTTTGTGTGGTCGTGGAGTGAGAGAGAATGACACAAAAACGTGTCTTGTTCCTGGGGGGTGGTGGGTGATGAAAATGACACACCAGGCGTGATCCGCTCGCGCTAACTGGTAGTGAGACACTTTACAAGGATAGTTCTCGTATTCATAACAAATTCAGTTTGAACTTTGTTTATATTATTTCTTAATGGAATGTTAGTATAAAATCAATACGATTTTGTTTACAAGCCTGTGGCGATTAGAAGAGACCAGGGAGTTAGACATTACTACTGTACCATCATCGGGGGTACAGTAGTAAAGTCGCGAACAACAGAACCCACCACGGGTCGTTGTGTACACCGAAGCATTTATTAACCTGTCGGAAGACCCTTTTGGACCAGACTAATTCTCTCTGCCGTAAGTAGGATGAAACCTTCCACGTTTAGAGAAAGCCGTTTGTAAAGTTCCGAAACACCGAATTTAGGTACTGTTTTGTCCTCAACTTCTGGTCCTCCGCCTTCAGTGTCAGAATGGGCGAAGAGACGGCGAGAGAGGAATCCGTCAGTAGGTATCCTTTAATGCTNCTTTGCAACCACAGAAATGGCAATAGCAAACATCAGAAGACTGAAGATGAGCTATTAGCCGTTAGGCTCATCTGCTCCTGGAGGCTTCATTATTATTGTGGAACTGAATTCCCAATAGGACATTTTCTGTTTCGATGTAGGTTGTTCCAGGAAATGACATGTGTGTACAGTTTACATTTGTTGTGTGAGAATAAGTTATTATTTTGTTCTTTATATTCTCACTTGTGGTGAGTGTGAGAGAGAGTGAGAGAGTGAGAGAGAGAGAGAGAGAGAGAGAGAGAGAGAGAGAGAGAGAGAGAGAGAGAGAGAGAGAGAGAGAGAGAGAGAGAGAGAGAGAGAGAGTGAGAGAGAGAGAAAAAAAAAAATACATTTGCCTCCGAGTCCTGCATGGACTGTGCATGGACTGTATTTTAACATTGGTCATATGGTGGTACTTGGAGAGCCAACTATTTTCTCAGGTGGTACTTGGTGTAAAAAGGTTGAGAACCACTGTCCTAACCTATTACCAAATGAACTATAAACATCGGATAGATTAAACTTTGAATTTTATTTAGACAGGACAATACTGCTAGTTTTCGGTGTTACAAAGTGATGTCACTATGTTACAGAAGTAAATAAAGGAGTCGAATGGAGGCAATGTGTGTGGAAAAGAAACTCCCTCTGGAGGGAACCTGGGGATTTTAGCCTTTGTAGACCATTTACATGCACTAAACCTATATAACACGCTACAAGGAAGAGCATAAAATGGCACCTTTAAATTGACATAATGAAGTGTGTGTCTGCAGGTTGTATTTACCAAATAAACAAGCTAGCTAAAATGATAATAACAGATTGTCTATTCAGCATAATGTCGCATTTAAAACTGATTGGTGTGTAAGACTCTGCTAAGCCGCTGCATCAAAGGCAGCGGAAATATCTGCTCTGAGAGGCTGCCGGCATCAGCTGCAGAGACGCTGCATGAATGGGCCGGAGAAAGGCAGTGCTTTCAGCTGATGCTCGGCTGTGGAGATGGTCTCACGCTGAAATTGCTGGAACAGACTTTGAAGTGGCTCTGCTTTTTCATCTATTCTCTGTCTGTGTCCCTGCCTCTCACATCTGCCACTATCATAATAACAAGCAATAACCCTCTTTCAGCGATAACCAAGACTTTTCCGCCTCTAATGTTGCTTCAATAAATAGTCGTGTTTACCAAGGGGCCATATTTTACAGCAATTTAGTCTAGAGCCTCCCCTGCTTCGTTTCTTTCCTCCTCGTGTTGGAGTACAGTACATAATGTGGTGCATTATGCATACAAGCAACAGACATGCATTAGCGCATTATCAAATGTAGTGATACAGAAAATGGCACAGTCCATCACACATCACAGCACGCATTAGGAGTGTGTGTGTGTGTGTGTGTGTGTGTGTGTGTGTGTGTGTGTGTGTGTGTGTGTGTGTGTGTGTGTGTGTGTGTGTGTGTGTGTGTGTGTGTGTGTGCATATGGTAGAGGCGGACAGCTTTCTCCGGGCCCCGGTTGAAAGCAGCAGCTCAAGCATGGGGGCGCGTTTCATTAGTCTGTCAAACTCAATGATATTTAGAGCCCCACACCCTCGGCCAGGCCTGGAAAACTCAATCAGCGCTCTGATTTCATAACCCTGCTTGGTGACAGGGCTTATTTTATCACCCCGCTGATTCATTCTAATAAACGCTGGCTGCCCAGCGCACCACAGCTGAAATACTACCCCTTCCCACCCCCCTCTGTCCTCCATGGGTCGACCCGAAAAGACGGGGGGGAAAGGGAGGGGGCGGGATAAATCAGAATTGTGGGAACTAGAGTGTGCAGATAATCCATCGGCTGGTCCGGGGTGTAGCTAGCAAAGCCATCCGCCCTCTTCCTCCCTCCTGCTGCACCCTTTAGCACAAATCAGAAGCCGGGGACATTGTTGATCTGCGAGGGCCTGCTGGGGCCATTGATTGTGGACGACAGAGGAGGAGAGGGCCGATAAATAATCCGGGGCAGAGTGCGGAGGGTGAAGGAAAACAATTATCTGCGGAGGTGGAAAGCACATAAAGTGAAGAATGATAAACACTGTGAAATATGATTGACTCCAAGTGATATATGGAAGCCGAAGGACAGGCGAGAGGTCTGTGTGTGCAGAGATATCCTTGGCTGTGTGAAATGAGGACTCGGTGTGCCTAACCACGTTTCCCTGTGCATGTGTGTCTTCCTCCACAGACGACTGATGACATTGTCTCGTCGGCGGAGTGCTCCAGCGATGACGAGGACCTGGAGGAGTGCGACTCCGGACATGCAGGTGGGATGGGTGTGTCAACTTGTGCTTGCTCTCAACCTGGTCTATTTCTCCTTATCTTTCTTTGATTTGCTATCCGAGGAGCTTCTCCTCTTAGCATCATGTCCCATGGGAGCTTCAAGTGTAACTTTGAAAAAAAAAAAAAAAAGCCCTCCGAAAAGTAGCCACTGTGAGAAATATACACTAGTGTGAAGGGTTCTCAGTGTATATCCAAAGTTTAAAGAACTCTTTGGAGATGGATGAAAGCAGTAAAGAACTCCTATATCCTTAGCATGCTCTCTGTAGGAAGTTACCTGTAAAGCTTACATCTATAGTCAGTAGTCAAAGCTCACACCTTCCATCTCTTGAACAAGTTACACTTAGCTATGGGGCACTGGTTGCAGACATGAAGAAGCGTTGATACTAATTTTGGGTTCTCAGCATTCGGTGGAGAGCAAAACTTTACTCAACAAAGTACGAAATTAGTATCAAGCGTCATGTCGCCCGCACTGATGCTTCAAAATGTATCTGTCCTGTACTGGTTGATTTCCTCTTGCTGTGCGTGTGTGTGCGTCTCTCTTGACAGAGGATACATTTTGAGATTCTTTCGAGAACAAAGATGCTTTCAGCATAGATACTGTGATATGTAGCAGACTAACTGCAACAGAGCCTCTTCCTACCTTTTCCTTCCTCCTTCTTCTTCTTCTACTTCTTCTTGTACTCGTTTGTACCTCTGTTTCCTTCGTCGGAGGCTTGCCTTACCTGAAACATTCTAATAGAGAACAGATATCCTCGAATTTCTGTGCGCATCGTCTCTTTTCCCCTCCTCCCTTCACACACACACACACACACACACACACACACACACACACACACACACACACACACACACACACACACACACACACACACACACACACACACACACACACACACACACACACACACACACACACACACAGATCACTTTGTAATTGCATCAAAGTGATAAACTCAGTAGATTTTGAATTTAAAATCACAGCTAGAATTTAAAGAGTAGATTTTAAAAAGGTGGTTATTTTGAGGAAACTTGGGTTTGGTCGACTTTTAAACAACAGCTGTCAATCACAGGGATGCCTGGCACATATACTTATAGTACGAAGAGAGCCAGGAGAGTGAGCACTATTAAAACTGGCTCAGTGTGTGAAAAGCGTCTCCCCATAGGCGCTCTGTAAATCATTAACAGCTCCAGCTATTTGATTGCTTCACTGTCCTTCAAAACGCCATCACAGTGGACTAATTGATGCCACGTTAATCTCCCTAAATACGGCTCATCCTAGCACCGAGCACATGTCCACTTTTCACTGCTAATAATAAGTCTAAATTGAAACAATGCGTTGCCCTTTCGCTTTGCTATCTCTGCTCGGAGAACATAACAGATAATCGCCCGTTTATTTGTCATTCTCGGAAATTAGGTTTTTTCCCGCGTACTTTTGTAGATATCCCGCGTAAGTCATTTTGCCTTTTTTCTTCCAATCTGTGGGAGAAACTCATTTACTTTGAAGCCTTATCACGCCATTTGTTTCCTTGAAATGATGACCACATTTAGGTCCTTCGCGCTCGTGGCTTTTAATGTGAAGAGAAAGCCATTTTCTCCGCGTCTCCGTGCAAGAATTGAGGTCCTTTATCTGCAAGCATGAGTTGCTCTCTTAAGTCAGAGATTAACTGAAATTGAATGGACACATTTCTGCAGCTCATGTGTTTTGTTTTTCATTTTCATTAGACTATAAAAAAGATCCCAAACCCAAGTATTCTCAAAAGTGGAAGTGCAACAAAGCGTAATGTAAGTTCACTAGAGAGAACATGGTACCCTCCCCTCATATAGTGGCAACATATGTAGTCATAAACACTCATACATACTGTACATTTCACCATGTGGACACAGAAATTCATATCCTCATTCCTTGCCCTGCTTTCAGTCGTATGAACAGTTGCATGACATGTTTGTTTCTTTTTCCGTTGCATTTTGGTTTGGATTTTCTCCTGTGATGCACATGTGAACATCTCTCCTCTGTATCGATTTGGACCCAGCTGTTGGGTTGCTTAGCTTTATTTTTGGTTGTTTTTCTTTTGGGGGGGCGGGTCGAGTGGGGTGATTTTTATTTTTTATTTTATTGTGGTCATTTGTTTTTATTTCTTTGGTGTCCTCCTCATCATCCGTCGTCCATCCTCCAAGCAAGGATAAAGCCCCTCCTCCCGTTTTTGCCTCATCTTGTGCCGCATGAACTTTTGGTGGTTGGAAAATTGCAAAGTTCTCCTCATCAAGTTTGTGTTGTTTATCATTTTTTTCGTGCCACATGGCTTCTAGAGAAACACATCCCCCCCCCCCCCATTTTCGATACAACATAGGGAAATGAACGGCAACAAAATCTTTTCTTGCCATCATCCTTTTTTTGGCCTTGTGCAGGCAACCCCATTCTGTCTCAAGAAAGTTGTGTGTGAAAGAATGACTCCCTGTCTCCCCCTTCCGAGCGCTAACCCCTCCCCCCCCTCCCCTCTCCATTCCCAACTCACCCCTACCCCCCCTCCTCACTCTTTCTTTTAGCCTTTCTGCATATACATGTCTGTTTGAATGCAGATGGCATAAAAAGACTTTTATTGCCACAAAGTATATCTGTTTTTCTATTCTATCTGTTGCTCCAAGTAGAAGGCATTTGTGGCATGCACACTGTACTGGACTGTACCGTAGCTCTATAGACTAACTTATAATCCTCTCCCCCAAAACTCCCCTGGCTTCTGCATGGATATGATTGGCATCCATTTTGTGTACTGCTTCCTCTCCACCCATAAGTGTCAGGCTAACCCCCCCAGCTGGCTTCTACTACATGTCGGTGTGTTTGGGGCCACAGTGGGGGTCCCGCGCCCCCGCCGTGGCCCCGTTCAGCTCCTGTGTTTGTGCCTGCTGTGTGTCAGAGCTCCGTCTGCCAGCCTGTCTGTTGTCTGTGGTCGTCTCGTGTTGTCTGTGTTATTAAAAGAAACTGTTAAACCTTTCCTTCTCCCCTTTTATCCCACGCGAGTTCCACAAGAGGGCAAATAAGCAGTGTGCCGTGACAGTCCTCTGAATAACAAACATCAACATCACTTTAAGTCCAGCTCATGATAAAAGTACTCCCACTGATGGAAAATATGTTCAGTTGCATTCAGAAACAGCAAGATACCAATGTATGATTTAATTTCACAGTGATTAACAGTGTTGCAGCTTCTCATTACCGTGTAATCTGAGCAATTTCTGTGATTAATATGTAATTATCTTTTATTAATTGATGCAAATTATTTTTTGAAATGCAAAATCGAAATCTTTGATTTGTACATACCGTCCCTACAAGTTGCTTTAAATCTTTTAATCCATAGTGTTAGTCAGATCAGATGATACATTTAAATTAGAATAATATAAAAAAAAGGCTAACTTGTACTTGAAATAAGTAATGCTAAAAATGGACGAATGCAGAGCAGACATTATATACAATAATTGTTATCAGAAAAAACATGGATGTTATAAACAGCATTAATAATGGCTTTGCTCCATCATCCCTTGTGGACATATCAATGGAATCATCGCTAACACCTGTTTGTCCAGCTACAGCTATTCAATATGTCGGCCACGAGAAAGGTACATCACATTGGTTGCACTGTGCCATTTCCGGTTATAACAAAATCTAAAACAAAATTGGATGATGAAGGATCAAATGACTGGGCATAATATGAAAGGTGACAAAATAAGAGAATTCTCCCCCAACTCCACAGTTTAGCTGTTTTAAGCGTTTTAGGCTCTTTCAGCTCATTCTTTTGGTTTTATGGGCGGCAACCTAGTTTTCAACAAAGGTGTTGTTAACAATGTGTTGCACTGGGCCTAAAATGCCCCGAAATCAGGTTTAGGAATAAGGGAAGATCGTCATCATAGTGAAAGAAAATCTATGTTGACTGTTGGAAGACAGACTCCTGTAGATACATCCCCCTAGCCTCCACACTGTGACTTTTTGCTGCACTATAATAATGTTGCTGCAGAGTGTAGATATACAGGTAGGTGTTTCAAATCTGTTTGATTTAACACAACATAGTCATTCCTCTAGTAGTAGACAGCCTCCAATAAATCTCTTTAAACAGGGTAACTGTAGCACTCCCTGTGACAGTCAATGGATTGTTTAAAGATTGTGTGTTTTAATAAAAGGGCCGTGAATGGTCCTGCATGCGCCATTACCCTATCAGCCTTTGATGAAGTGGAGCACAGATCAAACAGGTCTAACATCGTATACATCTCTCTTCATGGCTTTGGCCTTGGTGGGTAAAGTTGCCAGTCTGTGGCTCAAATTGATGTTGAACTGCATGTTGTGAGATTTCTTCATTGCAGTATATTAAGAGCCCCGACACGTGCGGAGGTACAGAATAAAGTATGATAGGGATGGATCACTGAGCTTCCTCGTGGCGTCAGCTATGGCTTTCATCAAGCCCCATCGGTCTATCTGTCACTTCAACACAGGCCTCGGATCAGTTTAAAGGTTATTCAGCTGACACATGTCCACCGAGTGCAGAGGTGCAGCCTAACGGCTGTACAGCAAATCGACCGTCTGACAGGGGCAGTCGCCACGCCGGCTGGAGACGCCAATTGAATCCGCCAGACTGCGCCCAGCCCCATGATGACAGATTAAGAGCTATCTGCCATGCACCGTGGCTCCAGGACCCTCCTCCTGCAGCCGGAGGGTGGTCATGTGTCCTTACAGGGCAGACCTTTCTGCTGGCTGGACGTGTAAACGGAATACTTTTAGAATGGAAATGAATTTTCCATCAGTGGGAAATAGGACCTCTCTTGGCCGGCGTGTGCATTGGCAAGATAAAGTAATTATCAGGGTAAAGTGCACGGCTTCTTAAGATACATGTTGCTCTGCCTTTGCACAGGGCATCAACATAATCCCTGGCATGTCCCTAAAAATGTGTCCACACTGACAATCTGTGTTTTGCTGGCTCACTGATAATCACCTCCCTACCTG